TTGTAATCTCAGTTGCCTGAAATCCTGCGGAGCAGCCCCCAGCTAGCACCTCCTGTTCTCAGGCCCCAGGACCACCTCCACTCTCAGGAAGCTCTTTACACAGACTACTCCCTATCTCTGTTCAGGCCCCAGCTTCCCCCACCTCCACTGACTCTCAGAATGAGGAAGAACTCAGAGCCCCAGCTCCAGCCATGTCCAGCCTCAGACAGGCAGGGCAAGGGCAAGTTCACCACCCACAGACAGGCTAAGGCAGCCAGCTAGTACAGCGCAGCCATTACATCTGGTTTCACAATTGCAGCGGGTCAGAGGGGCTGGGCGGGGGAACACTCTCTACCTTTTGCCAAATACCCAATAAGCCCAGTATTTAGGCTGACTGCAGTTGAATACAGTCAGATCAGTCCCTGCTGTTGCCACAATAAATTGTGGTGCTGGAACGCCACCCTCTTGCCTCTTCCGGCTTGATGTGGCTTGATGTGCGGGTCTCCCTTCTCTCTGGCCCACCCCAATGCTCAATCCTCATCCCCTGGGCACTCACCTGCCACATCCAGGTCCAGCTTGAAGTGGAAGGCATGCGTGTGCACCGCCCCCAGCACTCTCTCCCCAACGCGGTTCCCAAAGAGGAGGCTCTCCTCGCCCCCGCTCAGGAAAGCTGTGTTGATGTAGCCCGTGGCATGGACCCGCCCTTCAAGCGCCCCATTTGGGTGCAATACAAAGTCCCAAATGTAGTCATAGTTGCCTACAGAGGACACAGACCTGACTACAAGGGCCGAGCCAGCCAAACCACCATAGAAATGACTCTGAAGGTGACCGTGGTGCCTGCGGAGGGGTAGTCCCTGGGCCTCCTCAAACACACACACAGCCCCTGGGAGCAGCTGGACTGCCCCTTTGCCCACTAATACGTGGATGTCCACCATGGTAGACTGATAGGGGCAGTCCACGCCCCGCACCAAGCCCCGGCTGTGACGGCCAAGCCCATAGCTGCTATCCAGGTAGCGGGTCATCATTGTCTTGGGTGAATCGGCACCATAGATGGAAACACACTCCTGGACACTGACTTCATAGGCCACTCGCTCACCCCTGAACCGAACATCAAAAATCCTCATGCCACTGAACACCCCATGGCCAAAGGTAAACGTCCAAAGGGAGGACGCCACTAGGTTCCCTTGCACACTGTACCGGGAGCCCTGAGGTGAGAACTGAAGAGGGGGAAGAGGACCTGGGGAGACCCGCGATCGCAGCGATGAGGCCCCATCTGGCAGGGGTAGAGGAACTCTAACCACTTCCAGCCGGCCAGCCTTAAACTCCCATTCCAGCTGACCCAAGTCTGCATAGTAGTGCCCAAGGTAGAAGACCTGCTGGACAGCCCAGCGGGCAGGGTCCAAGGCCCTGTGGTCCAGCAGTAGCTCGAGCCCCACAGGGTGAAGGAAAATCCCAACACCTGAGATGTTATGGTAGAGGGCTATCCAGGTAGCACGGTCCCCTGAGCGCAAGCCACGAGGGGTGGCGTGCAGAGCTGCCAAAGTGGAACCATTGTAGTTGAAGACAGAAGCCAGGAAGACTGGTGCCTTGGGGAGCTCCACCTCTTTCAAATGCTTCCACATCTGGGCAGACTCAGTTCCCAGCACGGGGCGCCGGTGATAGGGCAGGGGGCCCCCGTGACGCTCCACAGTCACGTCCCGCAGGTAGGAGGGGTGCGGCAGCGGCCCCACCAGCAGCTCAGTCACATTGGGCTGGGGTTGTCCACCAAAGAAAACGATGGCCAGTGCTTCCCGGGCAGGCGGGGGCCTCCCCCTGTCCAGGTGGGCCAGGGCTGCAGCCTTGGGGGGCAGCTCCAGCTCTACTGAGAAGACGCAGTTGTCTGAGGGTTGGGCCTGAGCTGCATCCACCAGGCCTGGCCCTAGCTTCTGGGTCAGAAAGCTCATCACAGCCGTCAGCTCTTCTCGGCTCAGGTCTGCAAACAGCTGGCTCTGGCCAGGGTGTGTCCAGGGCTGGGCACTGTAGGATACAGAGGGGCAGTGGGGAGGCTGGCTGGAGCTACGTTGGCTGGTCAGCAAGACATAGGCCAGGGCAAAGACAGTAATGAGGGACAGTGCCAGGAACACGAGGACTACCTTGAGATTCATGGTGACTGCCGAGAGCTGAAATGAGAGTCCCGCCAGCTGCTCCTTCTGCTTACTGACATCAAATCAGGGTTTATATTCAGTAGGATGGATAGGAATAGTGAAAACTCCACCCTGTGGGTTGGACGGGAAATTTCTGACCTTGATTTATATAATTCTGCTCCAATTTTCTGTTCTGTGGTTTGGCTCAAGGTACTACTTCCACGTGCATAGCCTCTCCCCATCCCTGAACTCCTCCCAGCAGCACGGTCAGTACCCACTACTGATCTCCATCATTTAGACCAGATTAGAGGGCATTTGTATATACACTAGACTCTACCTTCCACCCAGAATGGGTCTGAGAAGTATGCAAATCTCAGACGCCCAATCAAGTCCCACGTACTACATGCAGCCACTCTAACTGTCCACTTTCCTACCTCCTGGCAGGCACTCCCCTCCAGTATTTCCAGGATCCACTGCCCAGCTCAGCAGTAAGCACTGTGTTCTGCCACATGCCTAAGACCAAGCCCTTGATCTGTAGTCTCAGGCCTCTTCCGTCTAGTCGGTGAGAAAGGAGTGGTGAAGGCCTGGGCGCAGCAGTCAGATTTGTACACCAATCGCAGGTCCCTACGCTGTGTGACCTGAGGGGAGTTACTTATCGTAAGTCTCAGTGTCCTCACCTATAAAGAAGGGATAAAACTACCCCAGAGATTCACGGAGAGTAAATGAGATCAGGCGTGTAAAGTGCTTAACAGCCTGGCACGGGCAGGCATTCAAAAATTGTCAGCTACTGGTAAGGATCTCTGAAACAGAATAGGGCAGATGTTCCTCCATTGTTCAAGACCTTAAATCCCTTTCTGCAGAGACAACAGATACCAGATCATTGGATACCAAAATGCTCCTCTGCAAGGTGGAAGTTAAGGAAACTTTATTTCAGAGGGAGCTAAGGTCCTAGATACCCCTCCAGTTCATTTGAAAACCAAAAACCAGGGGTCCCTGGCATCTCCGCAAGAAATTTAAGACATTATTCAGAAGGAACTTTTAGTATAGAGCAAAGAAAATGACGGGGTCGGGTGTGCCTTGAACCAGGTGATTCCCCACACACGGAACTAGAGCGGCCTCTACTGGCAGTTCATGGGTATCACTGGGGAGGGAAGGAAGGAAGGAGCTGGGATTTTGCGAGGGTAGAAGGCAGCTTAGCTTTGGAAAGAGCTAACTTTCATTTAATTCAGACTGAAGACAAATGAAGGACCCACCCTTGCCTCTTGGTAGGCAGAAGCCTCAGCCTTTCCATTATTCCAGAGAAAAGAGGCAGCTCAGTTGGTATAAAGACACCCAATAGGGTGGCTGGAGGTATATGAGGAGGTGGGTATCCCAATGTGCACACACGTAAGTGTGGGTATGTTCCTGGACACCAGAGCATCGCATCAGGGTCTGCAGCTTTAGAAAGAGGTCAAAGTACCTGTATTTTTAATAATTTCTTGACATGGTAAAAGAATTTTACATTACGATCCAAGGGTGGTAAGGTGAGGAGGAGGGACATGGGAACAATCCAACAAACGAAAAGGGAAACTGAGAAACACATGGTGGGAGGACGGAACATTTTAGCTGGAAGGGGTCTGAGGGTGGGTAGGGGCATTGCCCAACTAAAATGCAATTGGTTTGTTACTGAGTACTATTCATGGGAAGACAGCATCCTAACTCCTTCTCTAGAGCACACTGGGAGGAAAAATGATGCATCCAGATGGAAATATGATTGGGGGCTGCAAGACAGAGACGGGGGTAGAATAAAAGTCAGCAACAGACACAGAGAATCACCAGCAGACTCTCCAGTAGTGGTAGAATAGAAGTGGGGGTTGATGAGGGCTAACACAAAAGCTGTGACAAGTGACATCTCTGGAAGATTTGAGAGATAAGAGGCAACTCTTCTATGGTTTTGACTTGCCCAGCAGATTTCCACATACACACAATGTGTACATGCATGTGTGTGCATGCACACACATATACACACAAGTGACCGCTTTCCCTGGAAGCACAATACTATAAATAAGAAAACATTTTTCCCAAAGGGAAAACCCAGTAGGAGCAGCAGCATCTGGCCTCACAGCTGCAGACACCCCCACCCCAATTTACAACTGGCCTGGGAAGAGGAAACCGGGATTCAGAGGACCAGCCTTTGCAAAAATGCCCCAAAGGACCCGAATCACAGAGGAAGGGGAACCCACTACCCCTGCTTCTCATCTTTCAGTTGTCCTCCAACTCACCAGCCTCAGGCACCAAGAGGCTACAATACCAGGAGACAATGGGCCCTGGTGGATGAGAACTAAGACACCTAACACCTTCTGAACAGGGTGTGTGTGTGTGTGTGTGTGTGTGTGTGTGTGTGTGTGTGTGTGTGTGTGTGTGTGTGTGTGTGTGTGTGTGTGTGTGTGTGTGTGTGTGTGTGTGTGTGTGTGTGTGTGACAGAGACAGGGTTTGGGGGGGTGGGCAGGGCTGGGGGGAGGGGGGCATCAAGTAACAGAGTAGGAAGGCATGTGTGTGCTGCATGTGTGTACGTGTGTGTATATGACACACATATGTGTATGTGAAAATCCTAGTTATAAAAACATCTGAAGCAGCTAGGGACTTGGCAGAAGGTCTAAGGTGTTTCTTGTCATGATCAGGTTCAAGGTGCAATGTATATAGATGGGAAACCCGAAGTCATCACCAGGGCAACTGTGGCAGGGAGGATGCAACGTCCCACTGTCAAGGGACACTAACCTCCCATCAGGAAGAAAGGAGCTGGTCCCCCACACTCCGCCCCAGTTCCTACAAAACACCTAGCACTCTCCTTCCAGTTCCCTCAGTTTCTAACCAACTGATCATCAAGAGGAAGAATATACAAAGCCCAAGACACAGGAGGAAGCCAGGGAGAAAAAACACAAGTATTCTTGTGCCAATATCCTGCGTACAGAAACCTGGAGGTCTCCAGAAATTAGGACAGGGGGGCGTGGGGTACTAGGGAAGGAAATAGAAGAGTTCCTGAGGCCTGAAAAAAGAGGTAAACACGTCACAGAACTACATGAGAGTTTCATTAGGCTCTAACTAAAAACAGAGAGAGGGGTGATTACTACTTCCAGCCAGTTTCCCCATCACGATAGTCATGTAACAAACCAAGGCAATGTCGGTCTTGAGCCAGACTCACAGAGTCCCCTGGCCCTGGCCCTGGCCTCAGTACAGTGTCTCTGCATTGCTGCTCCGGGGCCGTTTGATCTTCTCGATATTTTTCAGGATCATGTCATGTAGAGTGACCTGGGAGAAGAGGGATCATGGACTCACATGTCTGTTGTACCCCTACCTCACTAGGAAAATAAGACACCGCCACAAACTCCCAAGCAATCACTCACATAACCTGGATCTCACTCACCTGAATCTGAATTCAGCATGGCTGCCCTACTACCAGGGCACACCTGGGTATATCCAGGGCCCAAGGTGTGCCCTACCCCAGGCACACCTGGGTATATCCAGGGCCCAAGAGTCTAATACATTACATTTACTGAGTACATAACATACCAAGAATTGCACTGGGTCCTTTAATGTGTTAACTGAAGTTTGAGGTTAAACTTGCCCAAGGCCACACATTACAGGTAGGATTGGTTCTAAACCTAAGCCTGACTCTAACACCCACATCTTCACCCCTATTCTATGTTGTGCCCTTTCCCATCCAGGTAGAAAGAAGGGAGATGCCCAGCTAGATACCTTCAATGACCTCATAGCTCTCAACACTTGGCTAATGGGCAGAATTTGTTCCACTCATTTTACCTCCACCCCCGCCCTCCATCTCAACCTCCAGAGAGTGGCAAGAAAATGGTCACCAGAACTAAGAGAAGCCAGAGCAACTGTGGGCAGGGACCAAGGTTACTTACATATTGATTCCTTAGCTCTGATATGATGAGCCGAAGGCTGATATATTCTTTCTCATCAATCTCTGTCACGGTGCGGCGATAGTCCTCCTGAGAGCGGGGCGGAGAAAAGGCTAGTTCCCAAAGCCTGACTGTCCCCACATGGCTCCTCCCAGAAACAGCCACTCCTCCCGGTCCTACCACTTCCACCCTCGGCCCACAAAACCCTTACTTACCACATGGGGATATTTAGCTATTTTAGAAACCAATTTGGCTCTTGTAATATAATATCTGGAAGGAGAGAGAAGAGGAGGAAGCTGCAGGAGACCCTGGACAGTGCTTACCACCTCATCAGCCCCCAATTCCCGGGCCAAGCCCAAGCAGCCCTACCTAGATATCTGGTCCAGATAAGATGCAGCTTCACTCTCAACAGTTCTTAGTTCTGCAACTGTCTCCTCCTGAAAAAACAACTGAGTCAAAAGTCACTTCCATATCACCCCAAGGCAGACCAAAGAGAAAGGGAAAACAGAAAAGCAGGGGAGATGAGATTACCTCCCAAACCTTCCTCTCCAGTTTCTAATGCAAGCACATTACCTGAATGGACACCCCAAAGTTGTTCCCATCTTCTATCCTAGGAATCAGGAGTTGTACCCACATTTTGACCTGGAGAGTGAGGAGACCAAAATATACATATGAGGACCTTGGCCTTTTCTACTGAAGCCACGAAGTATACAATTCATGCTGCTGGGGCCAGATGTCAGGAGCACAGGAGCCAAAATAGACTTCCAATTCCCACATCATCTCCACGCCTCCAGCCCCATATCCATCATCTTGCATAGTTCAAGCCAGGCTATTTGGGGTCAGCCCCTGCCTCACCGTGTTGCATTTCTCGATCAGCAGCCGGATCTCAGGCTTCACTTTTTCAATAATGTCCACCAGCTGCTGGTTGCTTTTTAGCATCCCATTGGGCATCACGAACACCTTGGTTCCTGGCAGGGACATGAGGAAGGTTAAATGATTTGGATGGAAGGCAGGACATAGCACTCCACCCCTTTCTCTCTTTCCCAGACCCATGAGATGCTATGACCTCTGCCTTTTATCTGTCACAACTCTATCTATAAACCTTGACACCCCCACGAAATCAAAAAGAGAACGCATGGATTAGCAAATGGGTGTCTAAAGTATCCCAAAACTCTGAAGGATAAAAAAATTAAAACATGCTCTATAGACTTAATGTACCAACTATTACTGAAGAGGAAAAAATGATATGGAACTGTGACTTCTGTGAAAAATCTGTGATGTGTAGCCACTTCCAACCTCTCTCCCTTGGCAGTCCACAATAAGACAAACCCTCCCTATTAACTGGAAAATTAGGTTTACAGTGCTAAATAATGACAATGCTTGGAGGACTTGGGAATGCTAACGTCTGGGAAATAAATTCAGATCCTGCTTCCTGGCCAGGAGAACACAAGATTCATCCTGCATCTCAGGGCTGCAGGCCAGGAAAGGCTGGGGTGGGATACAGTGAAGGGAGCTCTTACCCTGGAAGGCCTCTTCACATTCATCCAATCTTCGCTTCTTGTAAGTGGGCTAAAGATACAAAAAGATGGGAATTAGTCTGCTTGACACCTACATCCCCATCATAAGCTACCCTTCGAGCAAGTTTAATCCCTTCCTTGACCCCATTATTAATTTACACACAATTTACTAAGCACATACAAGGCTTTAAGAGAAGATTCTTGGGGCCTCCCTGATGGCGCAGTGGTTAAGAATCCGCCTGCTAATACAGGGGACACGGGTTCCAGCCATGGTCTGGAAAGATCCCACATGCCAGCGAGCAACTAAGCCTGTGTGCCACAACTCCTGCACTCTAGAGCCCACGAGTCACAACTACTGAGCCCACGTGCCACAACTACTGAAGCCCACATGCCTAGAGCCCATGCTCTGCAACAAAAGCCACCACAATGAGAAGCCCGTGCACCGCAAAGAAGAGTAGCCCTCGCTCGGCACAACTATAGAAAGCCCGCGTGCAGCAACGAAGGCCCAACGCAGCCATTAATTAATTAATTAAAAAGATTCTTGCCACAAAGCAACTTAAACTCTAGTTGGGAAGACCAACCTTTCAAGAAATATAACAAATTAAGCAATTAGGGGTAATTCCCTGGTGGTCCAGTGGTTAGGGCTTGGCACTTTCACTGCCAGAGGCCTGGATTCCATCCCTGGTTGGGGAACTAAGATCCCACAAGCCGTGCGACATGGCCAAATAAGTAAATTTAAAAAAATTTAAAAATTAAGCAATTGGGCAGGGGGATACTATAAAAAACAGGAAAAATGAAGCACTGAATGCAGAGTTAGGATAATTAAGGGAATAAATACAAATCTGCTGGTTCCACAATGAAATGCGATATTCAATCAACAAACATGTATTTAGCACCTGCTATGTACCAGAAACAATGCTAGGTGCTGGGGATACAAAGATAATTAAGATAGTTTCTGCTCTCCAGAATTGCAAGTTCTATCAATGAGACAGTAATGCAGACAAAGAACAATACAGTACAGTGTCATCAGTGTTATAATAAAATGTGGATATATAGCTGATAAAAACTAGGCACTAAAGATACACAAAGACTAGGACTGCAGTTACATAGCAAGAAGAACTGTTCATTCCATAACAACACTCAAGACACTGAAACGGGTAAGAAAAGTCTTGCCTAGAGTCCTGGGGACAGACCAGATCACCTGAGGGAACCTGTAGCTATTTGTCCTATTTTTAAACTCACTCTAACAGAGTAACATTAACATATTCACTTCATGCTACAAATGAAAATCAGGATCTAAAGGGGGTGTACTTCAGTCATAACATCTGTAAGAATCCTCATTCCCAGATCCAAATCCCACTGTCCCCTCTGTATATGTTCACACTGAGCAGGGAATAATGAACAGAGAACCTACTGCTTCCGAACACAAAGATAAATATACGACACTTACACCGTCCAGTCCATCATGGCTATTGGTGAGAAGAATGGGGTCAGGGACTGGGAGATTCATGTCTGAGTGGATCTGAGTTAGGTCATGGATGTTTAGGATTGGTTCCTGAAAGAGAGAAGCCCACCCCGAAAACATTAGTTTTTTTCCAAGATGAACAAAGAAGTATTTCATTTAAAGGGCAAGAAATGAGAGCGCTTTACAGTACAAAACAAAACAGAATTAACACGTGATTTGTCCCATTTGACAGAAAGACCGGGGCAAAAAAATGGGGGAATCTGAGAAAAAGAAAAGCGTCTCTCACCTTCAAAAAACTATCAAGTTCTAACAATTTCTTTGGGAAAAAATTTGCCACCAAGTCTTCTGCCTAAAGATGAGGGAAAATACAACCGAATTAGTAACTGTGGGAAGGTCTGTCTCCTCTGGGGAACTCCCGACTATTAACCAACATTCATTTTTCTATTTATTTCACTCACCTCACTTGTGATCCGTTCCCTGAAAGAATCAACCTAAAATTAATAAAGAAAACAATTCACTATGAGTAAGTCAGTACCTGGCAACAGAAGTATGGGCAGGATGGGGAAACCCAAATCCAACTGTCTTCCCCTCACCCTGTAATCGTAATGAGAAGCTGAGAGGCCCCCAGACTGCAAATACTTTTTTTCTGAGGATCCATTTCTCCATCTCAGGAGAAGGAAGCCGGGCTTGAGGGCAACACCCGCCTGTCTTCCCTCCCTCCCTCCCTGTTCTGAAGCTGTCTGACTTTAAGAGCAGACAAAAGACAGGTAGGTGGGGGAGGTGTGAGCTCACAAACGTTGTCAACCACCATCCAAACCTGGCCCAGGATACGAGGCAGGCCTGATGCCAAGGGCAGGGGCAGCAGCAGCGTCCGGAGGCGGGGACGCTGCTGGGCTGGGGGACTTCCAGCTGTCACTGGCCTAAAGAACTTAAGTCCACCACGTGTCCGCAGAGGTCTCCCCGGGCTCTCCACTATTAGACGGGGTACAGAAGGCCATTCCATATTATCCTCTCCCCCGATGCTGTCCCGGGGGTGGGGGGCTGGGCTGAGCCGAGCGGAAGCTCAGGGCTGGTGTCCCCAGGGAGACAAAGACGCCGTGGGGAGTGGGGAGCCGGTCAGACTGCTCGGGGATCGAAGCGAGGGGTAAGGAGGCCCGGGCCGGTGCCGTTACCTTGAGCTTCACTTCCTGATCCACCTTCAGCAACGAGGCCATGGCCGGGCCGGGCCGTGTCCGCTCCGCTGGAGACCGGAGGCGCTGTGGGCTCCGGGGAGGGGGTCAGAGGGAGGCGGGAATGTCGGCTGCTTTCGGGACGCGGCCGCCCTCGCTGGCTCACTCACTGCTCTCTCGCTCCCTCCCTTCGTGCCGTCCGCCCGCCCGCCCGCCCGCTGCCTGTGCCTTCTGCCTGCTCCCTCTCTCGCTCGCCCTCCCGGCTTTCGCCGCTCACGCCGGAAGTTACGTCACAGACAACCGCCGGGATTTCGGCGAGGATGCGCACAAGCCCTGCGCAGCCGCGCTGAGGTTCGGCTCTGGACATTCTTATTTCCGGGCTCCTCTCCGCTCTACGGGTGAAATAAAAGGGAGTGCGGCCAAGGGCGGTTTAGTGAGATCTGAGGCTCAAAGAGACTCGGGGATTACTTGCTTCTCTGTTATCCCGGCACTCGCCTTCTCCGAAGGGACCTTCGGAGCCGCTACCGCCTCGAGCGGGGACCCGACCGACGACGCCGTCGCGCCCCAGTGACGCCGTCGCGCCTCGACCTGAGGAAGCCGACGGTCCCCGCGCTGGGTTTGGGGCGTCTAGTCTGTGATTTCTGCCGCCTCCTTCTCTTGGCCGGAGCTCTAGTGTTAGGCTGGAGCCTAACAGAAGACAAGTCCTGTTGCACCAGGCTTCCCAACCTTTCTCTGCCATGTAGCCACTTAATCTCATACACTTTCACCTCAGTGATCAACTGCCTGATGGATGGGCAAATTGATGCCTGGAGGCCGGTAGTGCTTGTCCAAGGCTGCACAGTGTTTCCAGAAAATCCAAGACCAGAACTCAGATCTCCTAACTTCTAGGGCAATGCTGTATCCATTTTCCTCATGGAAGGCAGAGTCTCTAACCCTTAATTCACCCACTCATGGTCTCTTAACATTGGTTATTTCGCTCTAAAATGGACTAGGCTCTGAGACAGCAGTGTCTCAGAGGCTAGAAATAATGTGTCACTTATATAAGTTAAAATCTTCTAGCAGCCACATTAAAAAGTGAAACAGGTGAAATTAGTTTTAATCATATTTAACCCAGTTTAACCAAATATTATCATTTCATCATGTAATCAATATAAAAAATATTAATGAGATCTTGTACATTCTTTTCTCATACCAAGTCTTTGAAATCCAGTATGAATTTTACACTTACTTGCACATCTCAGTTCAGAGGAACCACATTTGCAGTACTCAGTAACCATATGTGGTTAGTGGCTCCTGTATTGAACAGCACAGTTTTGGGAAATCAAAGGTAAACAAGACTCAAGTTCTCTGGTCTCCTGGGACTTAATACTTGGGAAAGACACCAGAAAGTAAACTGACAACATAATTGCAAAATCTGATAAATGTTAGGGGAAAAATGACTGACAGAGAGAACGCCAGGGGTCTATTTTAGTTAAAATGGCCAAGAAAGGCCTCTCAGATGAAGCGACAGGCTAAAAGGGTGTAAAAGGGTTAGCTTGGGAAGAGTGATGGAAAGAGCCTTCAAAGGTATGGGTGCAGCACAGGGAAATGCCCTGGGGAAGGAAAGTGGTTGTCCAGTTGAAGAAATTTTTTTAAAGAGCATATTTATTTATTTATTGGCTGCACTGCCACCAGGGATCAAACCCGTGACTCCTGCAGGAAGCGTGGAGTATTAACTTCTGGACCACCAGGGAAGTCTCCGTTGAAGAAATTGAAAGACTAGTTAGTTAGTTGGGGGTGGGAGTGGGCTGGGGAGGGTTGTTAGGAAACAATTTGGATTAAGTGCAAAGGCAGGTCATCTGATTTACATTTTATCTTGAGCACACCTCTGTGTTAAGAGCAAGGGAGGGACTTCCCTGTGGCGCAGTGGTTGGGAATCCGCCTGCCAATGCAGGGGAGACGGGTTCAAGCCCTGGTCCAGGAAGATCCCACATGCCACGGAGCAACAAAGCCTGTGCGCCACAACTACTGAGGCTGCGCTCTAGAGCCCACGAGCCACAACTACAGAGCCCGCGTGCCTAGAGCCCATGCTCCCCAACAAGAGAAGCCACCGCAATTAGAGGCCTGCGCACCGCAAAGAGGAGTGGCCCCTGCTGTCTTCAACTGGAGGAAGCCTGTGTGCAGCAACGAAGACCCAACGCAGCCAAAAATAAATAAATTTATTTTTTAAAAAAAAAGAGCAAGGGAGGTGGTGGGAATACACAGTTAAATGAAGTGTGACTGACTATGGCCTCTGGAATCAGAGAAACCTGCCTTCAAATCCCACCTCAGCTCCTTACTAACTGTAATATCTTGGGAAAATTACTGAAATGCTGAGTCTCAGTTCCCTCATCTGTAAAATGGAATTTCAGTTATTATTAACAAATAGTATGCAATTTTGTAGGGTTGTTAAGAATACTGGAAATCACATATATGTAAAAGAACTACTACAGTGCCTGGATACAAGGCAGGCACTAGATAAACAGTAGCCATTATCAGACAAGTTACCTGTTCATGCTTAGCATGAACTTACCTCATGCTTACCTTAAACTATATAATTATTATCAGCCCCATTTTCAGACTCAAAGTTCTTTTCCACTTATTCAAGACCACATACAACATAGCCCATACTACCCATCTCGTGCATTAACATCTAACGGTTTTCCGCCTTTTACCCCTGCTTTCTGTTACACTTGTCCCTAGTAACTTTTCAACTCTGATCTGGAACTTAACTTCAGGAATGCTTTCCCAAATTAACTACATCCTATTTTAAGTGTGCCATTACCCTGCATTTCTTTCAGAATTGATAACTTCAGCTTGAAAACTTAATGTGTTTCTGCTTGTTGAAATATGGCTTTGTTCTCAAATAATTGTATTTTGTCTTCTTCAAGTAGGGTTGTAAGAAGACAGATACACATTCCTTTTTTATTTCCCTTTCTCCTCCCTTATCCAAGTGTTTTATGTAATGTGCACTCATTTGTTTATTTATTCAGTGAACAATTGCTGAGGGCACTGCTACATTTAACAAACTATTCATTCCTGGGTGCTTATGAATCAAACATGATCACTGATGACTGGTCTTATTTTAAATTCATGTCCACAACGTTCAAATGGGTGCTCCTGGGAGTCTCAGGTGTTCCTTGGCTTGGAGACAACCATCTTCTCCCTGTGTCTCTTCACATGTCTTCCCTCTGTTCATGTCCACCTTTGTGTCCAAATTGCCCCTTATTATAAGGACAACCAGTCATACTGGATTAATGACTTAATGACCTCATTAACTTGATCATCTGCAAAGACCCTATTTCCAAACAAGGTCCCACTCACAGGTACTGGGGGTTAGGACTTCAACATCTCCTGGGAGAACGTAATTCAACTCATAACACCTACCATTATCTGAAATCACCTTATTCATTTGTTTATAGGTTTATTGTCAAATTCTCTCCTCAAGAATATAAACTATTAGAGCAGCTCACCAGTGTATCCTCCCAGACCTAGACGAGTGACTGGCACATAGCAGGTCTTCAATAAATATTTGTTGAATTGATGACAATATGTTGATTATTCACAATCCCTCAGGCACTACACATACTGATTGTCATATATTCTCTAAGCAGCCGAGCACACGGAGAGTTTACTACGTGCCAGACATTGCTCTTTGTGCTTCATATTATTAGTTCATTTAATCATCACACTACCCTATGTGACGTACACTATTATCCTTATTTTAATCTTTTCTCTTTTTTTTTCTTTCTTTGGCCGTGCCGCACAGCATGTGGGATCTTGGTTCCCCAACCAAGGATCGAACCCATGTCTCCTGAAGTGGAAGCACAGAGTCCTAACCACTGGACCACCAGGAAATTCCCTATTAATCTCATTTTACAAATATGAAAACAAGGTACAGAGTGGTTGAATAACTTGCTCAAGGTCAGGGTTGGTAAATGACAAAGACAGACTTCCAAACACACAGTTGTCATCTCTATAGGCCCTACCTCTCCAGAAGCCCTTTACGTCTCCCCGCCTTTCTGAGATGGTGTTAGTGGCAGCCACACAGGAAGAAATGTGGGACTAGAAATCCGCCACACGAGGCCTAAGTGAAAATTCTTTGAGGATGATTCCACCCATCTCCTCTAGAGGGGGTCTCATGCTGAAAGATCCGAGAGGAATAAGGGTTGTAAAGACCATCTCTAATTAGCAATACCAGGAGAAAATCAATCTAGTCCCACATATTACATGTGATGCTAATTATAGGAGGATCGTACACATTTAATATATTAATAGGAAAGTCACTTCTGGAAGTGGGAACAACTTTCTAAGCAATATAAGTCATCAAGAAAAAAAAGCAGATTTGAATTCATAAAAACATAAAACGTCTGCACATCTGGAAAACACCTTAGTTAAACAGACCATTCATACAAATTAATGAAACATACTGAGAAAAATACTAAGAACCTAATAGACAAACAAGCAAAGGACACAAACGAATTTCACAAAAGAGGAAAACCTTCACAAAAGAGTCCATATTTACAAGGAACCAATGATATATCAACTAAAATAACAAGGAAGAGCAATTTTTTTGCCCTCGTCCCTCAACTATATGATATCTAATACTGGCCAAGGCATCGTGAAATAGGCTCTCTCATACATTACTGGAGGTACAATATAATTATGTGCAACCACTTTGGAAAACAATTGCTAACGTTAATCAAGAGACCTGAAATAGCCAAACTCGGTAATCCCAGTTGTGAGGTTCTATCATTAGGAAACAGTAAGCTCTTCACTGCAGCATTATTGTAATCACCAAAACTGGAAGCAATGGAAATTTCCAGCAACTAAGAAACACATTAAGGTAGCGCACTTGATGCAGTGTAATGCAGTCATGAGAATGACAATTACAAAAACTGTATAGCAACATGGGAAAATATTTATTATGTAATGTTAAAGTTTAAAAGCAGGATACAAAAACTGCACATAGATTACAAACATAAATACAACCTTGTTAAAATACATAGGGAAAAAAACATCATAATGGAAAACATAAAAATTATAGTGTGGTGAGATTATGGGTAATTTCCTGACACTATTGCCCTAACTTCCTGTATTGTTGTATTTTCTTTCTGTAAAATGTTTAATTTTGCTGTAAATGAGTTATAGGCTTATTGTTAAAAAAAATCTCACAGTACAAACTTGTATGAAGTAGAAGTCTCTGTCCCGTTGTTCGGTGAAGGACACTGCTTGCTGTACATCATTTCATATAACATAACATTTAACATGTCATGTTATATACCACATATGTTACGTTGTT